CGAACAGTCTCAGGGCAGGCGTCGAGGATCAACATAGAACTGCTGGATGAAAGAACGTGTCCCACATCACAAGACTTCCTCCAGCTACCGCCACGTACTTCCCGGAGCAATGCCACTGTGGGATTAGTCTACCTCTAATCCCTATCACAAGACTTCCTCCAGCTACGACAAGACGTACAAGAGCTACAAAATACGCCCGGGGGCTGCTCTACTTCACAAACTATCATATTCATGACTATGGGGACTTCAAACCACACAATAAAGTGCTCGATGAATCAAAACAGCACACAAGAAGAATATTTATAGACCAAAGAAGCGGTGCACATGGACCGGGAGCACCAGCGGAACAAACCTAACAAAGAACACGGTGAAAAGACAGAATTCAATGAAAGAGAACTCAGGCGTGAAGGAACAATACTCAACAACAAGCATATTCGGGAGAATATACCAACACTGTACAACCCGTGAACAAAAGGCATTTACACTCAACCACCACCATACAACTATACCTAACAACAGCAGACTCTACCTCTGAAAGCAGCAGACTCTACATCTGAAAGCAGCAGACTCTACGTCTGACAAAGGCAGACTACCAGAGAATATGCCAAGATTCTGTATCCGAGTTCTTTTTGAAGAATGCTCGGGGGCTACAACAGGGGAAGTTTTCAGTTCTTTGAACAATTCAGATTCAAGACCCTCTAACTTTTTGTTCCAAATAGCAAGAGGTTCGGGGGCTACACTCAGTGAGTGCACTTTTTTCTTCAAAAAAAGCGCACATCACTCAAAAGACTTTTTCAAAACAAGAGTTGTAAAACAACATAGGATTCAAGACCCTCTAATTTTTTGTTCCAAATAGCAAGAGACTCAGGGGCTACACTCAGTGAGTGCACTTTTTTCTTCAAAAAAAGCGCACGTCACCAAGAAGACTTATTCAAGACACACTACTTCAAGACCTCACGATGTATCCGAGTTCTTTTCTTTATAAAGAACACGGGTATACTCGGCTACTCTCCGGTGAAGGATCAGAGCAACTCCAAGACATGACCCTCCAGCTACTTGTTCCAAATAGCAAGAGGCTCAGGGGCTACACCCAGTTGGATGTGCTTTTTTCTTCAAAAAGGCACGCACCACTCGAAGATCCTAGAAAGTGCTACATGGTTTTACTCAAGAAAGCACTCGGACGACGCTTGTTACTAGCTCAACCATGAAGTGCTCGGGGGCTTGTCGATGCGGGACCCACGGGATATCCCGCAAGGAAGAGAGAAGATCTAGTCTAACTAGGTTTCCTTTCATGTAATCCTAGTAGTAGTAGTATTCTGTAATCCTACTAAGAACTCTCATTGTAAACCGATTAGGACTCTGACCTCCTGACTGTATAAAGGAGGGCAGGGTTCCTAGAGGAGGAGAGACTTTTGACACAACAACAACACACAATCAATCCAACGCAAGGCTAACGTCGACTGGACGTAGGGCTATTACTCGACCACGGTCGAGGGTCCGAACCAGGATAAATCGACTGTCTCTTGCGTTCACCGTCGAGTTCCGCATACGCTGAAGTCCGAACATACTGCCCCGGGGACCCCGTGGTAGGCTATCGGTGGTCAAACATCGACAATCTATAATTGGGGGCTCCTCCGTTTCGTGTAGCATCCTCGAATATAAATTTCGTGCTTATTATCTCGATAAATCTCATTAGTTCTCTAATTGCGTGGTCATTATCACCAAAACCCACAGTTAGGGTTTGATTGCACTTTCAACTAGTAGTATTAAAGTTGTAAAATTTAAGTAGTATCTTTTGTGTGTGACCTAGCAGCATGCTCATATTCACCCTGGTGTCATTGTCATATGAGTACATACCTTGCTACTGATGTTATTCTCACATCTTAAGACTTAAGAGGTTCTATATTTTCCTAGAACTCGATTTAGATGTTATTTAAATGAGCTATTGTTGATGTCTCCAACCAGCCGCAGTTGTTATGGGTGATGGTGTTTTTTTCTGTATATTGTTGTTTCTTTTGTTAACCTTCTTTCCTGATTATAACAACCTCGTAGTGTCATACTAGCTCCTGTATTTCTTTATTCCCCCTTTTTGGTGCTTTTTACGATTATTAAGAGGCCGTGTTGTTGGGCCGGAACGACGTGCAGAGGAGGTTGAGCGCCTGGGCTCAACTGGTCGGTTGGATGGCAGGGAACGGCAGAGATAGAGCGATTGCAGTATGCAGTCGTGAGGGTCCGTGAGGATCGACTGCAGAGGATCTGGTTCCCACGCAACCACGCGCTATGTTTGGGGTGGTGGCCACTGGCCACGGGCCGGCGACCGGGTCGCCGCCGAGACGTGCGCTCCACCGCATTCTCCGGCGCCCCACTGCCGCTGCGTGCCTGCTCACCTGCTGCTGTGCGCCAACCTGCCAGGTGCATGCTGCCTATTCTTGGAGCCGCATCGCATCGTTTTGCCTCCTGCTAGCAAGTAGCAACTAGCATGCTACTGCTGTACTGCATATTCACATAATTCATCTTTATAGGTCATAACCTTTTTTTTTTCTTGAAAGAATATATGTAGTTCATTCATGGTTCTGGGTAATGTCACGATCTCAAGCATTGTTTGTTGTACAAGATTTTAATCGTTTTAATTTAATGTGTCCCCTCGGGAGCGTGAGCTTCTCTAGTGAAGTACCTTTCTTCCTCCCTGGTATAGTGACGGTTGCTCGGCCAGGCCTCCTGAGCGATGGTGGGTTTATCCGATCCTCCCATTGCTCGGGGTAGATGGAGGCTTCGATCGGTACTCAGAGGGCGTGTGAGTGCACCTGCTAGGTGTAGCCCCTGAACATCTGACCGATTTATAGAATCAATGAAGGGATTTATTTTGTTGTAAGGGTATTAATTAGTATCGGGCTTACATAACCCTAGTATTTTGTATTCGTCTATATATATCTAAATTGGAAATGTAATTTGTGAGATACTCCCTGAATTCTGAAATGATTAATTGTATTTCATACAGGAAAAAGTCAAATTTACAATTATTCAAACTACATACAAGTTAAGTTTATGATATAAAACTCACGTCAAAAGATTTGTATTTAAGTACCTCCGCATGAAGCATGATGATATTGATTCTTTAGCAAATAATAACATTTTATTAGAGAAATCAGTGGTCAAATCTATTATGTATGACTTTTTGCTTATCAAAATATGCTTACCATTTGGGGACGGAGGGAGTATAGTTTAAGGGTTGCTAGTCAGGAAATACATGCTATCCCTATTCGTTTCGCTGAAAAGCCATGTCTAAAAGTATTGTTCATTGATTTATTATGAGAAAAAAATATTATTCGTTCGCTGAAAAAGTACGGTGCTTCCACTCGCCAAAACAAGGCACATTTGGCGCCCACGATCTGGCCAGTGCAAAGCAACGGAGAATGGACCATATCTAGGCTGGCCAAACTTTGTTTTTTTTTTCTGAACCGAGAGAGATCCTCCATTTCCATTAAAGAAGTAACGGAAATACATCGTCCAGATAGCGTTTCAGGAGAAGCAAGCTAGAAAACAGAAAGAAAGACTGCGGTAGCTACCCAGTACTAGGAGCAACTAATCATGCATTAAAAAAACTGGACCTACAAGGATATGACGATCCTCAGGCATTGCATTAAAAAGAAGACCTTCTCGCGCAGGTCCAGAAAACCTTCAAACCCCTGCCCCACCCTTACACAGCGGCACCGTCGTCCTGTGAGAACGGGCCGATCCTTAGACCTGTGCTTTGGCGTGGAACAGACGACGGGATTTTTTTAACCCCAGCCTGAAATTCGCTCCCACGGAGAGTCGAACCCAGGACCTGAGAAGTGCCGCCGGTACGCTCTAACGAGTTGGACTAGAGGCCCTTTGGCAACCATGCATTACCCGTTTATCAACCAAAACAACCTGATCGGGCGCTGGCCAAACTTTGTTACTTATTAGTCCATTCATCCATAAAAGAATTCAATTATAGGTTTTGGATAAGTCATCAAGTTTATATAAAATAATTATGCTTCCAAAAGGTTTATCATGAAAATATATTTTAAAATAAATCTAACGATACTTATTTGCTGTCATAAACGTTAGTATTTTTTATATAAATTTGGTCAAAATTAAAATTATTTGACCCCTGGCAAAATAAAAACTGCATTCTTTCCGAGACGGAGGCAGTAGCTTCCAATCAAACCCTAGTCACTTTTTAAAGGCAAGTCAATTTTCTTGACCTACTAAAGCCACAAAACATACATTGGCATAACCAAACTTTGGCAAAACACAACTTTATTTTTTTAATTTTGAAAGGAATTTTAAATTCCATTACTTAACCATGTCAGCTACTGACACTAAGTGCATAATATAATCTGGCACTCTGGCCATTACTACAGGCCCTGTTTTTCAGCAGTATTTTTTAGCGAAGGAACAGTGTTTTTCTCTCACAATAAATCAGTATAAGCAGCAGCCAAATTTCAGCGTAACGAACAGACTCAACTTATCACTCATACTTCCTATAGAGGTTAGCCCGTGAGCTACTCAGTTACATTCACGCGGCACATACCTAGCTTGGAAATTCACAAAATTTTCCGCTATGATCTCCTTCAATTCATGCACCAAGCCACCCACCAAAAATCACCTACTGCACGTCGGATTCTAGGCAAACATTGTTCATGCCCAGAAGCGCTGCTGCCTTCACGCCTTGCATGCAGGCAACTAGCTTCATATGCAGTATATCTTGGCACATGCTGACATGCACCAACAACAACAAGGCAAAGTAACTTTGGCAATTGGCATGCACAAATTTTGGCAGGACTTGTGGGTCATAAACCAAACAGGGCCCTACTACCGAGTTGGGTTTGTTGGCCTATTTGACAATTGGCACCTAGGGTTTACGGGGGAATCATACACATATATCGATCGGTCTATCTAAGGCAGCCACAGCCGCAACCTCGCCATCCACGTCTAGAAGAAGAGCTGACCGCTGGCCGGAGGTTAGGAGGATGATGGAGAACGGGGGTGAGATGATGCGGGGGTTCGCCTCGGAGTTAGTCATGTGTTCCACGTGCTCCAGTTTTGTGATGAGGAAGGAGCGTACAGCCATTCCCGATCCTGACGAGGAGGTGGTGGAGGTGGTGACGGAAGCTGAGAAGATGCGGGACTTGATGCAGGCGGTCCTACTGCACGGGCCCTTCTAGGAGAAGGAGCCGGCTGAGGTGACGAAGAAGCAGTGGCAAGTTCTGCGGAGGAGGAGGATGATTATGATGGAGACCAAGAGGTGCCCGGCTTGCTCCCGTTCGCTGTTAGAGATGTGCCCGACTTGCTCCCGCTCGCTGTCAGAGAAGCCCAGGCCCGATGAGGAGGACAAAGCGGCCGGATCGAAGGAGAAGAAGAAGAGCTCGAGGGAGGAGGCAGCGAGTTGATGGCTGTCCTTCCATCGCAGGGCGGGAAGGAAAGGAAGAAGATTGCGACGGAGGACGAGGCGATGGTGGCGAACGCCAGATCGGTGAAGAAGTCGAAGCGATCGAGGGAGGAGGGCAAGAGATCTAGTAGCGGATTGAAGAAGAAGAAGGCGAGGATAAGGAGGGCAGCCGATCAAAGAAGAAGGCTAAGAGATCGAGCGAGGCATTTTTTTATTTTCACAATAGCTTTCCTTTGGGTACTCTTTCTACAACTATATTAATATTAGTCTCAAAATACAACTACATTAATATTAGTCTCGAAATGCTTTTAGCGGAAATAGCTAGTGTAGAATTTATCTGATATAGAACACTCATCGATAAAACAGTTTGAACTATTTACTAGAAGAGCATGCAGCCCTTTTTCCAACTGCAAATCGATGACCTATGTATAAAAAAGAATTTTTTTTTGGATTTGAAGAATAAAAGTAATTCTATCAATTTTTATTTTCCATTTATTTAGTTTGTTTTTCTTAATGAAATCAAAATTATTAACTAACAGATGGAGGGCAGCGGATCGAAGGAGGCGGCGGAGACCGAGGGCAGCGGATCGAAGGAGGAGGCGAAGATGAAGGTCAGCGAATCGGCCGGCGGAAATGGGAAGACTAAGATGGTGACTAGGAGGTTGGACAAGATGTCCATTGATATTATTTTGAAGGATCACCCCCCTTTCAAGCCTTTCACCTACACTACCCACAATCCCTTCATCCAATGCATGTTTGCTAGTGATATCGCCCAATATGAGGTTGATTGTGAGTTCCATGAGTACTTGCGACGCCAGTCCATCATCAGGGGGTATGCTGAGTACCAGCTGGAGGTCACCGATGACGAAAACTAGCTAATGACCACAAGTTGGTGTAGCACTATTGTCATGTGTGGTTGGTGTGGTAACGAGTTAAGGCTGCCTATAGCATAATAATAATCTTAGTATAAGTGATGAACCTTCGCTTGTTTCAGAGGTATTCAGCTCTGTTAGCTTGTACTAGTAGTATTTAAGTTGTAAAAGTGGTATCTTTTGTGTGTGACCTAGCAGCATGCTCATTCACCCTGGTGTCATTGTCATATGAGTACCTTGCTACTGATGTTATTCTCGCATCTTAAGACTTGAGAGTTGCTATATTTTCCTAGAACTCGATTCAGATGTTATTTAAACGAGCTATTGTTGATGTCTCCAACCGGCCGTGCTATTGTTGATGTCTCTAACCAGCGCGGCGGCCACAGTTGTTATGGGTGATGGTGTTTTTTCTTTTTCTTTTTTTGTATGGTGTTGTTTCTTTTGTTAACCTTCTTTCCTGATTATAACAACCTCTCAGTGTCGTACTAGCTCCTGTAATTTGGTGCTGTCTCATTTTCAGAAAAGAAATTCCAATATCTACACTGGTGTGGAGCAAGTAATAACATTTGTGGATGGAAGTTGGAACTACTAATGTGGAGCAAGTAATAACATTTGTGGTTGGATCGGCTGGATCAACAACTTTCTACTCTGGGAACAAAATACTACAATTTCCGTCTTTTCATTTCCTATGTATATCCATCGACTCTGCCCCTTGTTTTCATTTCTGATGTAGCTAGTGACAACTGCTAACTTTCCAGTCTTTCGAGGCTAGCCGTTTTGAAGCACTTCAACTCTGGGAAGTGGCATTCGAATACCTGCTAGCATATCTATCAAATGTCTTGGTATTCTAAGTTTCTAACATATGTCTCTTCCTTGAATGATGATTGTTGCCCTACATCCTGTGAGAACACTAAGGAAGATTTCGAGCTGGTTAGATAAGTAAGTGTGTCAAGTTCATTGTCAACAGCAAACATCAATAACCATTACATCTGCACTACCTCAGAAACATTTTGTCGGTGCCATTATTAACTGATTGCAGAACATGAACAGATTGGTGGATCTGAGGAGCTCAGTGATGCCGACTGACTGGATGCTTGGGTCTAGCTACTTTCCTGTTCTAACATATATCCTGGTGAACCATTAATAACAGGTTAAGTGATCTTACCATGTTTACCTTTTGCAGATGATACTGGATTAGTGAATCTAACAAAACTGTATATGAAGAGGGTGGGTCCTAAAGGAATTGAACAGCAGGTGATTAATAAAAAATATTGTGGATTTAAAATACATATAAATTGATAGTATATGTACATGGTTCGAGGTGATTATAAAAATATATAGTTCAAGGTGATTAAGGAGTAGAAATGATTGTGTAAGCACCAGGGTCAAGCAAACCTCAAACACAGGTGAGCAGTATCACACCCAACAACGCTTGCCATTGGAGCTAATTAAGGATTGGCCTCAATATACTTTGGTTTTTGCTTGACCAAAATGAACTCGCAATGCATAGAACCAAATAACAATCACTCTGAAATTATTCTACACGAACCACTGCTCTTGTTATCCCCAAAAAAGGAGTATCTCCACAAAGCATTATCACCAGGATTCAGGACATATATCAAGGTTAATGGTGTCCCCAGAGATCAAATTTGGTTTAATAAATAACTTATAAAGTTAATTTGGTGTAATAAATAACATAAAGTTAATTTGGTGTAATAAATAAGTTGCAGAATTATAAGGCAAGTGGCCTCAGAGATCAAATTTCACAAGATAATCATGTGCTCTACAGATTTGTATTGCTAAGAAACATGTGCTTAACTGAGCATGTTTGTTGACTAGAGTACATTTGATGGTGATGAATGGGTAAAGGTGTGAAACATTAGCGTGCCTTATGTAAATATCTCTCTTATAATCTAGGAGCCTTTTTACCTCTGCAGCTCCTTTTTCTACACGAATAGCATTATTGCATCAAGTCTTCTATCCCGACAGATATCCATCCGAAGAACAGAAGCATCTGAATCACCTCCCAGTGCTCATGCTGACACACATGCAACAGGATGACCCATCCATGGACCCAAATGTGCATCAGGATAATCCACAAAGTATTTGATACAGATCAAAACTGAAGAAATGACAAGTTATGGCATTCTTCCAGTTCAATAGTTTCTGACTTTTAGTGAACTAAAATGGAAGCACATACCTTAGAACATGTATCATATAATGTGCAACTGTGATCCCAGGCATACAAACGTGCAGTGTTGGCTGCTAGTGTTACTCGTTGGAGCAGGGGCAGGTAGATCTGATTCGTGTGCTGATGCAGTCTCTGCTACTCTCGTCACCTGGCCTGTCCACGTCACGATCACGACGAGGATCGGCTGCCGCCTGCCCTCAACTACTATAAACTATGCAGCAGGTGACGACAGTCGACACTCAACAGGGATCAGCTTCGTTCAGAGTTGCGTCTTGACAGAAAGAAACACAGGGTCTGAAGAAGTATTCAGAAACTCTTTGCATGCATGGCCATTCCATTCAGAAGCTGAGACTGCTAGTGCGCGTAGATTTTTTTTTTTGAGCAACTATAGTGCGCGTAGATAGATCATTCTCGATCTCACATAACTAGTAACTACTGCCTGTCCTCTGCTGTCGTCGAGGCTTTTCAGTTTGGCATGCATCACATCTGGTCGGCACTTGTTTCTTCAGAAGCATTTTCGGTGGATCACATTGTGCTCTCTGCTCTGTATGTGGTAGGTTCAGAATTCATGATGATGTATACAGCATGTGTGCTGACAATGGGGACTTGGGGAGTGTGTGACATATAGAAAGCCTATGCTATACATACATGCTCCTAGTTGGAATGGATGCCATCAACAGTACCAGAGGATTGCAATAATGCAACAAAGTGATCTGCTCTATCTCAAGATAGAGTACGCTCAGTTAGCATCAGATCTTAAGTGAAAATATATGAGTATCTGACATTGTTATCATCACGAAGCAAACTGAAGCGGGAATTCTATCGAAGTGGTACTAATAATACTGTGAAACCCATACAGACCTGTGTACAACTAATGATGATGGACGGAAGTAGATCAAAGCAGAGTAGGAACACAAATTACAAAATATATATATATATATATATATATATATATATATATATATATATATATATATATATATATATATATATATATATATATATATATATATATATATATATATATATATATGTATGGCTTCTAAGTTCTAAGGACGATCGACCAAGATCAGTTCATCCCATGCTTGTTATTGGCAATTTTTCACTTTTTCAGCATCCAACTAATGCTTACATCCAACCATGAGCCACAGCCTGCTCGTCAGGGACTTGTTGCGCTCCGCCTTCGTCAGAGACTTGCTGCGCTCCGCCTTCCTCTTCTCCTTCTCGCACGCGGATTTCGTTTCTTTCAGTTTGTTCACCTTTTTCAAATCAAACGAGACAACAAGATCAGATTTTTCAACTTTTGCCCGCCTCTGGAATCCCTGATCAATGTGCGAAATCTATCAGAGTTTTTCTGTCGTCGTCGGCGGTGTATCGTCGGAGCGGAGCTCACCTTGATGGGTGGGTTGGGCTTGCTGAGGCTGCTAATGCTGCTGGTGCTGCGGTGGAGCTGGCGCGCGCCCGCTGCAGGATCTCCACGGCGCTCCAGCTCCCGCCGGCCGCCGCCGCCGCGGGCTTGCTCTGCACCTTGCCGCCGCTGAAAGCTGGGTCCACCACCGCCACCGGCACGGAGTCGGACCACGTGGTGGGATCCTCGACTGGCGGCACGGACGAGGAGGATCCCAGCCCCAGCCCCAGCCCGAACTGGTGATGGACGGCCTTGCCGGCGACGCCGCCGCCGCCGCCGTCCAAGCCCAGCTCGCAGCTGACCTGCCTGATGCGGGACTCCAGCAGGTTGAGGCGGTCCATGAGGTCGCCCCGCACCTGCACGTGCTGCAGCGCCGCCGGCATGGACTTGGTGTGCTGGTGCTGCGCCGCCGGCGCGCGGCGGCAGGCCGGGGCGGCGCGCCGTGCTCGGCGTGCGACGGGCGGCGCTGCTGCTGCTCCTCCAGCTGCCGCAGCTGCACGAAAACACCACACGGATGGAGGCATCAATTAATGTGCTCGCGTCATCGGCGTGCATGGACGATGTATACAATACAAACGTCCATGCGCGCGGCCGGATGACCGGCCGGCCATCACCCATCAGCAACTACCACGACGACGTACGTACCCGGAGGTCGATCTGGTCGAGGCGGCCGAGCAGCAGGCTCTCTGCAGGCTGCGGGGGGAGGCCGTACCCGTATCCGCTGATGAGGACGCGGCGCTGGGAGTCCACCAGCACGTCCGCCATGACGGACGACGGCTCGCGGCGCGCAGGGGCTGCTGGCTGCTAGCTACCGCGACGCGTGGTTTATGTGACGGTGACGCTGCCTGCTGCGGCTGCAAGGACGACGCGCGTGCCATCGTCAGTTATAAAGGCACGGTGGTGAGGACTGAGGAGCAGCGCAAGATGATCGGGGCGGCGATCGAGGAGCATGCAGCGGCATGGCGACGACGGGGTGCGGTGCAGCGGACGCCGCCATGGTCGGAGCCAAGATCGGGTCGTAGACTTGGCCGAGTCCAACAACGTGAACCATCCAGGGTGTGGTGTGGTCCGTCTGGATCCTGTTTACCGGGCTAGATGACTACACGAGTTGTAGGTGAAGCCCATGAGTAGGAATAGGATGTGTGTTAGTAGCATAGAGAGCCGGCCCATCTTCAAGAATGTGGCCCATATAGTTCTGTGATTCAAACAAGGGGACATATCTAGTGCAAACCAATCACCCCGTGCAACCTTGGAAACTATGAATCAGGGCCACAAGTTGCTAATCCAATAGACAGGGTTAGAGGTGGGATTATTTTGCGCTTAAGGCCCCCCACTAGCCGGCCACTTTTCCAATACCCCCCTGCCCCCTCGCGTTCGTTTCTGGTTGGAAAAGTGTCCGGCTGGTGGAGGGGCTTAAGCGCAAAATAATCCCACCTCTAACCATGTCCACTGGATTAGCATCTTGTGGTCCTGATTCGTAATTTCTAAGGTTGCACGGGGTGGTTGGTTTGCATCAGATACGTTCCCTTCAAACAATGGCCTACTTGGTTGGCTTCCAATCATATAGTTTTTTCTCACTTTGTTGATTCTACGGCAGAAAACTGAGTGCTGGGCATAGAAGGAATCTGAAATATAAAGTTCTTTATAACAAAAAAAAGTATAACTTCTAGAATCTATAATAATTAGAGATATAGATACACGTTAGACTCATAATCCTCTAACACTACTCTCTAGCTATTTCAAAATTCTAACTTTGTTATTTTAATTAGCCTAACATATAAGGAGTTTATAGTACAAAAGGTTGTTTGTTTGATTTGTATTTAGAAATGATTCCTAATTGATGAGCAAACTTTTGTTGCTATAAATTATATACTTGCCATAGATTATATACTATAAACATGTCTACCATATTTATCTTAGGCCAATCTCAAAGTGGCAAGTTTCATAGCATAGTTACCAAAGAGTGCCACATCAACTTTTGTGTTGGTAGTCAGTGACGGTTTTTCATCTTGATGAAACTCTATGAAACTCTCTCTATCTCTCTCTTCACAATTAATGAAATGAAACTCAGATGAAACTCCCACTGAGACTGGCCTTAGTGCCATCCCCAATCAGGTTTTCGATGTTAATGGTATCTCATCAAAGTTGAGCACATTTCTCTGATGTTCTCCTGGCCATGCCCATCTATCATTCATTGTTAGAGCAATTCCTTGCATAACCCTTGTGTCTCAAATAATAATCGCCATCAAGCTCGACCGCTAGAGAGCTCACTTTCTTATTACACTCCTCACTTGAGTTAACCAACTTGACAAAGGTTTAGTTGGAAAGTGAATCAACTTTTGGTTCATATCTATATGTGAATGTAATTGATGATAATGTAAAGATACAGTTAAAGAATCATCAACAGTAATGCAATTAAAGTTTTTCTTCTCTATTTAACTCCAGTGTTGATGAACCAATCATTATGATATGATCCATGTTTCTAGGAGCATCTGAACCAATGATACTTGCTAGAATTTTAGACAAATTCAGGCATAACTTAATCCAGAAAAAAGATTACCAAAAGATTTGTGACATCAAGCATGTGCACGTTTGATCCAATTGCAAACAAGTTAGTCGACATTTCCATTAATCGACATAGCCTTTGTTGGTGTAGTCGTCCCGCTGGGTGTTGTGCAAAAGGTTGTAGTGCCAATCACATCAACGAAGATGCTAGGAAGTAGAGGATCAGAAGGTTGTCGGGAAGTAGTTGATCAGATCGCTAAGAAGTAGTGGATCGGATTGAACAATCGCATGTAGACGCTCACCAAAAACCTGATTGTCGGCCTTCACCTGAGCTGATGAACGCAGAGGATGAGAGGATGGTGTGGTTTTAGGGGCCAATACCTATTCCTGTGCGCATAGGAGTAGGACGGGTACTGGACATCGGGTTTTGATTCTAGTCCACCAGAAGAGGGGCATTTCCCCCTTATTACAGCCACTCCCACAGGAGATCAGGAGTCTCGAGAGAGGTCAAGAGTCAAAAGTGCACCTGGATGCTAGAAGAGCAATCACGCAGAAGCGTAAACTCCCGCATCAATTGCATCATCAAAAGGCCCAAGTGGCAAAACTAACCCTAGCCACATACCACAATGTGTCATCAAAAGGCCCAAGGAGCTTCGCCATCAGCTCTGGTATCAGCGACAGCACCTATGCCAAGGTCTGCTTGAAGACATGGAACAAAGGTGGTGTGATCTCCAAGTAATCAAGGACCGACCTAGTCAGATTTAGGGAAGTTAGTCTTTGTAATAGAACTACAGCTCCTCAATTGTATCAGGCTAAGACTAGAATAATGCGCCCTGCCCTCTGGACTATATAAAGAGAGGCAGGCGCGCACGCCTTGTATCCAATCAGTCATACACAACACCCCAACGCAAAGGCACCACGCCTAACTTGACTACGGTATTACGCTATTCTAGCGGCTTGAACCAGTATAAATCGTTGTCTTCGCGTTTACCGCTAAGTTTTGCATACGCGAAAGCTCCCCAAACTTTGTCTAGGTAACCCCATGATAGGTTGTTGGTCATTAAACACCAACATTTATGTTGAGAGGCTTTGCCATCGCTTTTAAGCGTCACCGACGCCGCCTTCATCGCCAATTTGGAACGGGAGGGGCTCACCATTAACATCGCCGTCTTCAACTTCACCTTCACCATCAATTAAGAGTGATGGGACCGCCATCAACATCGATGTCTTTGCCTTCGCCTTAGCTGTCAGTTTGGAGCGGAGGGATCTTCATCAACATCGGCACGTTCAACATTAGCTTCGCCATCAATTAGGAGCAGGGTGATCGCCATCTACATCAACATCTTTGACTTCTCCTTTGCCGTCAATTAACAGCAGGGGGATCGACATCAACATCGACATCCTCAACATTGCATTGGACAAGCAATCTACTCAAAGACGCAAACCTTGCCAGACATCTGTGAATGAAAGTTTGAAAACGTGTCGGCTACATCATTGCTTTCATGATGGCTCAAATATGAAGAGAATCTATCGAGGGCCCAAGCCCAAGCAAAAGAGCAAGCCACCAAAGGCAAAGTCTTGGATGTTCAAGTGAAGTTTACCAGACATGCATCTCTAGATGATCTCTGTATACAGAAAAGCCATGCGTGTGCTCTTTTCGTCATACCCTTTTTCCCCGTAGGGTCTTTGGGATGAAATTTTAAGTGAGGCACATACACATGGGTTGTGAAAGGTGGTCCTCACAGCTGAGTCTGAGTTGTGATTAGGTCACACTTAGTTGTATTCAGCTATTGGGTCTTATACTTTTGATTAAAATCGAATAGTTGAGAGGCTACTATTAGGGTGTATCATATAATAGGGACTCCATTAGAGTGTTTAGGCCCAATTACAAAGCTTGAGGGCTTGTTTGAAAATACTTAGGGCCTATTTGTAGCCTCTAGAGACTCTTTTATAAATATAAGCTCCACTAGATGACAGAATGAAAAACTTCCAGCCCACCTCGCATTTAAAGAGGGGGAGGGGGAAGGCAGAGAGGACCTTTGGCCCATCACTCACTTTCTCTCTCTACCTCTCACTCTCCACTCCCACCTCATTATGTTCGGTGTAGGACCAACATTGCGACTTTCCAGTTGTATTTCGTGGACAAAATGATATTTTTTGTATAAGAGTAACTTTGCATTTGTATTTTGTAGACGAAATGATAAAGATCCTTCACCCATCATCCCTAATGCCAATCTAAGGAGATTCTTGAACATATCAGATTTGGTTTAACTATAGGATGTTGTACTTGGTGCAAATCATAAGAAGGTTCTTGAAAGTATGAGTTTTAAAGTAAATAGGATCATATTTCTTCAAGAGTGTGGGGTTGATTTCTCTCTTACTGAATATTACAATGTTGTTTTATTTATTTCCCTTCTTCTATCTGTGCATGAGTTCCTTTTAGGCTTGTGATGTAAATACTACACTGTTTGAATGATAAGTACATTGTCTGGTAATAAGTTTAACCTGAGTACATCATTTCTTCTTAACCATTTAAGAACTCACTCTCCGTGTAATCAACCATCTAGCAGCCATAACTCAAATCTGCTAGTGTAGCAATGAATTAATCATGTGTTACCTAAGTTGTTTAGCTAGCCTAGAGTTCTATTAAATGATCTAGGCATGTGTTGTCCTGATGATGAAATGAGTAAAGAACTTTGGTACAATTTTTACCTGGATAAATGTTTTTGTGTTGTAACTGGTCTTTTTTTTATAAAACTTGTGAATACCAAAGTTGTAGGAACTTTGATATCTGTGCTCCTGAAATTTTGAGAAACATTAGGATTGGGTGTTGTGATTTTCTGAAGATTACTGTCAGATTGGACACTTATGTGGGGCATTGTTTCCTTTTTTTCAACTTTGTTAACATGTGTTTCAGGCTTGCGATGTAATTAGAAAGTTGAGTGCGTTTAATAAACTTTCCAAGATGTTAATGAACATAAATTTTGGTTAACTACAACCCTAGTACTACTATCAAGCATTTTTAGAACCTCTGTTCACATGATGTGGCTGTATACATAGCTCCGTTAGAGCATATTTCTATATGTGCAAATATATATTCTGGACCTTGATGCAGAGGAGGACGATGAGGGCCATGCTACGAACGATGAGGGCCATGCTGCGGAGGAGGACGATGAGGTTCATGGCGGAGATGGAGCAGGCTCACCATATGATTTTCTTGTCATAGGATGACGAGGTGGACCAGGAGCGTGTTGGGGAGG